ATGATTCAGAAGATGTAACAAGATGATAAATTTGAGACCAAAAAATGATAACTCTTCAATCAAAATCCATCTTTTTTTTCCAGTTGTCATCCATTTCTCAACGATAAAAAGCAAAAGTTGATATCAAGATGATTATCATTAGCATCATCTTCATTCCCAGTCATCATCATTATCATTATCAACAGCTATAATAATAATGATTGTGTTGTGTGTATATTTATATACATTTATGTGTATTGTTTTTATGCTGTTGTTGTGTTGTTGATAGGTTTTGCTTTTTGTACGGTTAAGATAAATGAAGGTCGAGAAAATAATGATGAAACCAAGAAAATGAACCAAAAGATTCAGGTCAGTTTCAACGTTGCAAGAAACATTGGATTGAATCAACATTAACAATCAATATTGAGCCATTGAACCAGAAAATAAGATTCAATTAATAAGAGTGAGTTAATTGGCTTCATTGATAAAGGTTCGTGAGAAGAGATCATCAATTAATGGAACCAGTTTGGGAAAAAATTGTTCATTGTTCATGGAACAGATTTTATCCTTAGAGGATAAATTGAAAAATGAAATCAAATCCAAGTATTTGATTTCGAATGTTTCATATTTTCTCGAAAACCAAAGGACAAACCATTTTCAAAATACAAAATTTTCATACAGATTTACAAAAAAATTAATACCCATGAATGCTTTGAAGGAGAATAGATTTCGTTTTGTTTGTTTTTTTAATCAATGCAAAATTTTCGATCTAAAAAGATCAACTAGATCTTTCGCTTGACCTGCCATTTGAGTACAATTGTTAGGATTTCTTCAGTCTTGAAGTTTAGTTAAATCTCCAGTAAACTCGACAGGAATAGGGTCAACATGGATTTGTGATGGAGTGTTCAGAGTTTGTTGGGCTCGAGTTGAAGCCGGATATTCTTAGCTATTTTGGGTCGAACGGGTCTATTCAGAGCCAATCACCTCTCAAAAATCATAATTTTTGGCCGGCATAGTTGCTAAATTTGCATTTATGTGTGCCTTAGTGGCTCTCAAGTTCACTCATCTTGAGGAACATCAGGTCTTTCATCCTCAGCGTTTTCTTCATTCACTGTAGTGAAAAGAGTTGAATAAAGCAGCATAAATAACATTCACTATGTTAGCAACAGCTTCGTCCACATTATCACTAGTACATGATGTATTCATGCTAATACAGAGTATTCAACCAATATGTGTGATGTTAAATGTCAATGACTTCTCGCCTTAAGAATCAAGTGCAGGCGATTCGAGTGAAACCCATTTTTGTATCCAAGTGTCAAGCTTATTCAAAGTCATTCTGTCCTTAGCCTTTTTGCTTCTTCTTCTGACCAACATTTCATGATTTTGTTCTGGCTGAATTGAGCTTCTTTCAAATAAATAATCAGAGTCGTTCAAGGCATAGTTTATTTTGTGGAAACGGTATAACTGAACTAAGGATGAGCCCTCCTATTTTTGAAACGATAAATGGTAGCGACTTATAAAAACACACCAAGTCAATAAAAATATGCGATTCTAGAAAATAGTCTCTAAGTGCTATCTCATTAAATTTGCCTATTTTCGGATCAATTGAAATCCTTTTTTCATGAAGCTATAAGCAATAACAGTTAAAATATAAAACATGTGCCAAAATTTTTTTCATTGAACCTACATTAGTCAAGACAATATGAATAATTTTCAAAAGGATTACAATAATTTGTAAGTCCTTAATGGGCAAGGATTGTTTCACTTTAAGTCAAAAATTGTTGGTTTATCATGGTTTTATCCTATCATTAGTTTATTATTAGAGTTATTTGTCTTTTCATTGAATTGAAATGTTAGCAAATAAAAGCAGCAAATCAACGCGAAACCTCATTTACTTCATTCCCAGCAACTCCTTTTGCTACAACAAACATATCAACTGAAATGACAAAACACCAAAAATGATAATAATAAAAATACATGGAAAAGCAGGGAATTGAACTGGGAATTTTTACTCCCAAAAAATTTATGCCTTTTTTGTTTGTGTTCAGCTAACAATTGAATGGGCTTACAGTTGTGACAAAATTGTCGCAAATAAAAGAGTAAAATGTTCATCAATAGTAAACCTCATTTATTCCCTGATCACGTTGTTACTTTCATCTGGACCTTTCGATTGAAAGACGAAACTAAAACTGATTCAAGTACAACAAACTTTCCATCCACTCTATTCGAAGTTGAATAATTTTTTAATAACATTTTCTCTTGAAAAAATGTAATTCGATTCCATGCAAAATTGAAAATCACTTTAAATGGTTAAAAATATTGACTCCAATGTTTACAGTTAATTGATTGATTGTTTGAATAAATCTCCATTTCACTTGATTCTTTGGTTGGATCATGTTTCTTGGTTCAACTTTAATCTCAATGAACAAAATCAACTGTTAACCCAAATTAAAAGATTATGTTGTTTAATCGTTAGATAATCGAAGGAATATTTTTATGATCGTTTTATTTATAAATCATTTACCATTTGATTAATGGGATTCTCCTTTTATATTTTCCTTGTGATCATCCAATTAAACTTGAATCATAAATCAGTGTCAGGGTGAACTCCATGAATCTTAATGTTTATACCTTTTCAACAACCATTTATGCTTTTTTTACAATTTAAAACTTCTCTTTATATTGACAATTGTTGGTTTGATAAACGATCCCAAAACTGAACAATATTGTCCTTGTTTGTGAACATTAAAGTTCCAGTTATTTTCAATTTCATGTTATTAATATCATCACAGCTATCAGTTCAATTTGAGTTTCACAAGTTTCGACAAAATTTTCTTTTCCTTTCAACAGTTGATTTACATTTTCAATTGAATTGATTGATGATCATAATAAGATGAAAATCATCTTCTATCATCATCATCTCGAGCAAACAATCTTCATCTTGTCAACTTTCGATAATCTGATAAAAGAAAATTGTCTTTATTCGTCTTTTCATCAAATGTTCAAAATTACCGGCAATTGTTTCATTGGAACAAAATTTTCTTCCAACTTGAATTCAATTATTTTCATCAGGCAAGAGCATCAGATATTAAAAGTGTTTTACTTGGAATCGAAAAAATTTATTCGTAAATCAATTCTGTTCTGTAAAGGATGAATCGATAAATTCACTGAATACTTTGAAGAATTATTTTGCAGATTCAAATTGAGTTTAATTTGAAATTGAAACAATTTCCATTGAACATTTAATCCAATCAAATGTATCACTTTAGTCAAAGGCTGTAAAGATGAACTCATTGGATGGTAAACTGTTTTAAACTAATGTTTAGTCAATTTATAACACTTTGCTCAATCAACTTGTTAGCGATGAAAAAGTTTATTAATTTTGCATCATTTGGTTTGAGATTATCATTGAATTTAGATTAATGGGAATCAGTTTATCGTGAAACCATTAATTGATGATGAAGTGGCTTTGGTGAAAATGGATGAGAAGAAGGAAGGAAAAAGTTGAGGAAAATGATTTTCATTAGATGATGGCGATTGCGATGGTGAAGAGTGAAGTTAAAGGTAAATTTAATGATCATTTTATTGAAGATAAGAGCAAGTTTTTGTGGCTTTCGTTGGTAATAAACTGAGGGTCAATATTTGTCTTTCAATGTGAAGTTACCAACAATTCACTTACAACTGAAATTATTTTCACCAAACTCACCAAGGAACATTAACTTGCAACTTTCCTCTTCACCAAAAACCATTATTGATATCATTTTCATTTGGATTGTCAACGAAAATATTTTTAAATGTTCAACAATAATTGTCAGAATAAATCATTTCCCCAAATCAAGTGAAAATCTTGAAGCTTCATCAACAAAAACTATCAACAATTATCTTCATTTCTCAACTTCGATTGTTGAATTGATGTTCATTTAAATGTCGATTCAAGTTAACTGTTCACTTGATTGTCCAGTTTCTTTTGATGACAAGATCAATTGTCAAGTTCTGATTAAAGGTAAAAGGTAATTTGGAGTAAAGAGATAGAGAATGATATAAAAGAAGAGAATGATAATTGTGAGAATTTTTATCACAAAAGACTCTGGGAGTAAATAATATTGAAGATGAAAGTTGATAAGTTTCTTTGGTTGTTAGGATAAGACAAAAAAGCGAGTGAAATGATGAAAAGCGATGTTGATGGTTAGATGAATATAATCCGTGACTGGATGAAAAGAGCAAATCTTAAAGGTAAGAAGAAAATTGGAAGAAGATAAAGTTCTGAAAAGAGGAAAAGTTTGTTGTTCGATAAAAGTAAAGAAGATTAGGAGAAGAAGAAGAAAGAGTGAATATTGTTTACTCTTTGGATCAATCAGTTGTTCAACTTTTTTCCTGATCATCTTCATGATCATCATTCTCGTCTTCATCTTTTCCCTTTAAGCAACGTTGAACGTCACTCAAAACCTAATCTTGCAATTGAACTTTTCTTCTCATCATTTTCTTCCTTCACTGAACCTTTTTCCTTTTAATGATTTCACCCGAAAAGCAGAGCCTTTTTTCAGCCTTTCATTCCTTGATAACACGATTCCTCATTTTCCGTCATTTGTTAATCATTTTCACTTTAACTTTATATCACTCTGACAATGTATACACATTATTATCGTTTGTTTGTCAACCATAAAATGTTTCACTTTTCATCTTCATCTTTCTTCATCAGCAAAACCATTAAACAGTTTAATACATCAACACAATTTAACTACAAATTTATTTACTTCTGTTTACAATGACAACAAAATCAAACCTTTTCAGTTAATCTTTTTTCCCAACAATAAGTTTATCAACATTTTAATAGCGACTTTATCAAACTGTTATAACCTTTTTGATTTTAACGAGAAAAGCCATTTTTCTGATTCAATTCAATTTCCATTGAAGTATTTTCATCACAATTTCCGAGCAACATTTGACTTTGCTTATTGAAGGTTCAAGAGTCAAATTTAACTTCGATTAACTTTTTCATTTTGTTTGGATTATTTTCACAGCTCATCCTCAATTTGTGACTAAATTTCGCAGTGAAACGGTTCGACTTTCCGATGATATTGAACTCTCTTGTGATGCTCGTGGTGATAGTCCAATGACCATTGAATGGCTTCATGATAAGCAACCTTTAGAGAAAGATGTTCGCTTTACAATTCGCAATCAAACTTGGCCTAAACGTCTTGTTTCCAGTTTAAGGATTGAATCAGCTCGTCGAAGGGATTCAGCTCTATTTACGTGCCTTGTTAGTAATTCATATGGTAAAGATGAGACAAATATTAGGTTAATTGTTCAGGAACCTCCTGAATCACCTAAAGATTTAAGAGTTTTAGAGCAACGATCGCGTGAAGCTAAATTAACTTGGAGTCAATCTTTTAATGGCAACAGTGAAATTAATCGCTTCTGGATAACTTGCCATCCTAAAGATTATTCATGTAAGTGTTTGCGTTTCTTTTGAGCTTCCAACATTCAATTGATGAAATGTTTTCTTCCATCATGTAGCCGGTGAATTTTCATCATTTGGACATCTCAATATGTCGGTGGATAATTTATCAATTGAAGAAGGTCCTATTTATATTGTTCGTGATTTAAGGCCTGCAACTACTTATGTTTGTTCAGTTAAATCTGAAAATGATGTTGGATTGAGTAAATCAAGCAACACGGTTGAATTTAAAACTGAAGAACAGGGTAAATATCAATTTTATTTGTTAAACATTGTTAAATTACAATTAAAATTTCCATAATTTGTTTTACTAAAAGTAAAAAAGAGCAATTTAATTGTTGAAATTAATAAATAATCCTCAATATATCGTGCTTTTTATGCTGGTTGTGCTTTGTTTTTTATGCTTTTTATTACTATGCTTATTATGTCTTTTATGCTTTACCTATTGGGTTTCTATGGTTGCTACCCTTTGTTAACCAGTTTTCTGTTTTATTTTATTACATAATCTAAACATGCACATTAAATTTAATTTGTTGGTGTTTTTGGTTCTCTTTTTTAATTTTAAATTATCTTACCTAATTTACAGCTCCAGAAGGACCGCCATTAAATTTAAAAGCAAAACCAAATGATTCAAGATCAGTTAAAGTAACTTGGAATGTAAGTAAACCTTTTTCTTTTGTTTCTGCCAGCTAAACGTTAGACGAAAAAAATCAATAACATTTAGTGTTATTTCTTTAAAATAAGACAATCATTATTGTTAATCATTTGTCTTGATTTTTAACTCTTTCTTTTCCTCTTTACAGCCTCCAGCTCGTAAGCTTTGGAATGGTAAACTTAAAGGTTATTATATTGGATACAAAATTTCTGGCTCAGATGAACAATATCTTTACAAAACTCTGGAGATTGTCAAGGAAGATGAAAGATTGAATGAGGTTACATTGAGCTCATTAAAACCTTTTACAAGCTACGATATAATTGTTCAAGTTTACAATTCAATGGGAACTGGACCAAGATCGGATCCAATCACTGTAACAACCTTTGAAGATGGTTAGTCATCTATGTAATTGTATTTTGCGAGCATTAATTCACATGGTTATATGATTAACATTATTTATCTACATCATTACCACTGGTATTCCGAATACAAGATCAAGATTTTTTCCTCTTACCTGACTGGATTCATTTGGATAGATTTGGTTTAGATAGATTTTTTGGGTTAATTACGTTTCCTCTATATGCTCAATGGTGTTGCCAACTTATTTATTTCAACATTTAAAGTCACCATCATCATTATGTTTTACCTGGGTTAAGTCAACTTTATGGATAGAAACAAATTATTTCCTGTTGTGGCCAATTTTACGGAAGTTAATTTGATTCCTTTTGCTGTTAGCCATGCTTTTTTGGTAATAACCAACAATACATTCGACTATGTTTGCTCTGCTGTTAACATCTCACACAAATGTGATATTTTGGTTTATACCATAAGCCAATTTTTCCATTAATTTTTCTTGAAACAACTCGTTGAGTGAAATAGAGGCAATTTTCAAGATTAATTATCAACAATTGAATAAACCTAAAAACTGACTTTACCAATGTAAATTAGCAAACTTTCCCTGCGAGGGAAAAAAGCTTAAACATCATATTAACCCTTACTCATCTTCACTTGTTTTTGAGGCAATTTATTTAATTACCTTTCAGCAGTTTTAATCGTTTTTTCTTCTTCTCTCTCAATCTACAGTGCCTAGTAAAGAACCTAATTCTGTGAGCTGCTCAATCATCTCTTCTGAAAGCATATCTGTGACTTGGGAATCGCCACCAATATCTACAATTAATGGGGTTCTTCTTGGCTATAAAGTTATCTACCGACCTCTTGGAGGTAATAACTCATTACTAATTTTCACATCTTAATTTAATTCTCTGTTTAATATTAACATTAATTATTCTTTGTGTCATTTCTTTAGGTGATGTTTCTCGGATGAAAAAAGAAACTACAATTGAGAATGAAATTGTTTTGAAAAATCTACTCAAACATACCAACTATTCAATCGAAGTTGTTCCTTATACTCGTAAAGGTGAAGGAATTGCATCCAGAGTTACTTATTGTCGAACAGCTGATGACGGTATGTAATTCATCTCTATTTTTACAGTGATGTCTATGTTAGTGATGTTTCGTTATATTGAACAATGATTAATTATGTCTTGTTTGGTTGAGCTAATTTATTCATTTTGCTCATTAAAATATACTTTTGTTATGAATGCTTTTATTGAGTTTTGTAATCTTGACTCATTAGTTTATCCATCAACTTGAAGTCATAATTCATCAACCTATTCAGTGCATCCAGAACTTATCTAAAATTAATACAAATTTTACTTTCAACGGTAATTCACTCGGTTCGCATTTCGCAGAATCAAAATGGTTTGCAGAGCAAAGGGAAATTGAAAAATAGTCACAAAGCTACAGATAACGACTTGATTAGGCTACTGAAAATTAATGGGGTAATTTTTTATCAATCAACTTATATCTGGTTCGAAAATGTTTAGAACCAAACTATATTTATGATGTAAAAGTCTGATTTGTGTTCTTTTATTGTTTTTATGGTACTCAAAAAACCAAAGGTTTAAAATAAATCAAGAAAGTCAGAATTTATCTTCCACTTTTCTGAAACAACTTTGCCTTTTAAATTTTTCGATTAGCTGTGAAAGTGATAAACTTTAACGAATAAAAATCATTTCGTTGAAATTGATTTTTTTGGTGAATTTTCTATTTTTTTTATCTCTTTGTGATTTATTTTAATCGATATGATTGTTGATTTTCATTAATAATGAATCATTATTAAGAATGATTTAACTAGGTCTAACTAAACGTGAGACTACATTGTTTTACAAGGTGCTTTTATTTTTCTACCTTTTGGGTCCACAACTCGAGAATCACTAATTTTAGTGAACTGAGACTTGAAGAAGAACTTTCCAAGTTGAAGTGTACCATGTTTCATTCAATGTCACTCATCATTTTGACTTGAAAACGACATGGAAAGCCAGTTTCTTAAGAACATTTTTTCGCATCGAAATAGAATTGCAATCCATTTTTTACCAAAAACTAATAATTAATAATTATAAATCATACATTATATAATATGTTTGTGAGTTCTTGGAGTTTTATTGTTTTATCCTGTTCTTCGATGATGTCAAACGTTTAGGTGAGGTTCCATGTTGAATGATACTAAATATCATTTTACCTTTTGACATTTAGTTATTCCCTTTTTGTTTGCATGACAAATTCCGAGTGCTTTATTTTTACCTGGTTGATATTTTTCATTCATAAATTGGTTTGAATTCCAGATATGACCAAATGATACTTCATTTATTTCAGTTAAGATTTTTCAGGATCGTTAGATCACTTTCATCTAGGCTGCCTAGAGACATCTGGTTTCCTTTAAAAGAAGCAATGTCTTTTCGATTATTTCTATCAAAAAGAGTTGAAAATGTATATACAACAATTAATTTATACACTCTTTTTGTTCATCTAAATAGTTCCTGGTCCTCCAGCTGCGATTAAAGTGATTATTTCGTCTGCGGATAGTGTGATTGTTACCTGGAAAGATCCTATTGATCGTAACGGTGTGATAACTAAATACGCTGTTTATTGGCGTGAGCTTAACAACAACCGAACCAAATCATCAGTTACAGTTCCTAAAAGTCGAACTTTGGCTTTATTATCTTCCCGTTATCGATGGCCAGAGCCTTCACCTCAATACAAAATAACCAGTTTGAAAGGATTTTCCGCCTATGAAATATGGGTTACAGCTTTCACCAGAAAAGGTGAAGGAGAATCAACACCAAGGGTGACACAAATTCCTATTGAAAATGGTAATTATTCATTAGTCTTTGATCAAAAATATTTCTATTGTTTATCCGATTTCATTATTTAATTATTTTCTTCCATCTCCATCCATAATTACTTTTCAATCATTCATTATTTACATTTTTGTTTCTTTTTTATCACAGTTCCAGCAAGAATTTTGGAATGGAATGAAACATTTATTATTAATGGCGCTGAAGTAACACCAATAGTCTTGGGCTGTCACTCTGTTGGTGCAGAACCGTTTCAAAGGACGTGGTCTAGAGACAAGTAAATTCAAGACAAGTCAAGATGCTTGTTACCAGTTTATTAATTTTTCAAAATTCTGTTTATTTCCTTCTCTTCATTTCACTCTTTGGCTACTTCGTTTGTGGACATATGAAAATACTAGCAGTGAGGAAAATCTTAATATTGAAGCTGATGGAAGTTTGTTGATTCAAGAAATTCCTGAAGAATCTAGCAACTATACCTGTTATGTTTCCAATGAATTTGGAAATGATTTTGTTGTTTATCATCTGGATCGAGGTAAAGATATTTGACATTATTTCTTGATCCATTTTTTTGTTTGCTCTTCAATTCTCTCACCAGATTTCACCAAGCTAATTTCATTTATGGACTTACCTTAATATTTCTTCTTCTCTTTCTTTATTCTTCTTTCTATTTTCCATTCACATCCAATAAATTACTTTATCCTTATTGGATACCATGTAGAGAGTGGTATGTGGTCTTACATTCATTTCTCATATTGTATTAACTACATTCTGTATCTCATAAAATTGCAATTTTCCTTAGACCCATTAGCATTACAATTTGATTTTTTTACATCAAAAGCAAATCTAACATCTCAAGAAGATGATAGAAAATGCTGATGAAATTCAAGTAAACAATATCTTTTTTAGATATAACAAGATTATGAACCTGAATAATTGTCTCTTTTATTCAGATGAATCTAAATGGTCTTTATTGCATTATTTTAAAAGATTCAGTCATTTGATGTTAATCTTTGTTTTACCTCTTCACAGTATCAGCAACGGATAAAAATTTGAAAGTGCAAGTAATCTCGACCAGTCACACTTCTGCTCAGATATCATTTTATCGTGAATCGATAACGAATGTAGACTCAACCAGAGGTAAGTTTTGAAAATTAATTTCAGGTTAATGACTTTATTGTAAATGTAACCCTTTTTAATGTATTATTTTTTGACAGATTTTGAGCTTAATTATCGAATAATTGGTTGGAATGTTCATGATTGGCAGATAAAACCTATTTTTCGTGTTCCCCCTGGAAATCATACAGTTTTACTTGATAATCTGTTATGTGGAACTTTGTACAAATTATTTATGACTGATTTAACAACCGGAGCCAAAAGTGATACTCTTACTTTCCAAACTCAAGGTTCAGGTATAAATTATACTCGCATGATTTGAAGATGAACAGCAATTTGTTTTGAATCCATCTCTATTCCTATAATTTAATTTTCCTCTTCTATTTATTTTATTTCTCTTTCATTTTTGGTTTGCATCAACAGCTCCAATTGCACCTAAGAAAGAGGATATTATCAAGGTTGTTGGTAATTCATCAATATACATTTATCCAAGTGTATGGGATCAAACTCTTGGTTGTCCAATTACCAAGATGCTCATTGAATATCGATCATCCACCCATCATACCTGGAAAATGGTGTCAACTCCTAGTCTTCCCAATCCTGAACCCATTCATATTCCTAACCTGACGCCAAAGTCAACCTATTCTATTCGTATAACTGCTCAAACTAGAGGGTCACCTTCAACCATGGCAGAATATGATGTAAGACTTGGTTTGGAGGATAAAGAGTTATTCACTCTTGGGTCTAGCTTTCAGAGAGGTTTAATTGTAGATACAACAACTTTAATATCATTTCTTTCATCGCTCGTGGTCTTAGTTACTGGATGTTTTGCTATTGCTTGTTTAATCATCTACAGGAGACATACAACTCTATCTGGTAAGCCTAGAGCATCTCATTATCGTAGGCAAAGCTCAACCAGTTGTGCTCCTAGCTCAAATGAAGGTGATGGTACCAGTGATAAGCGATCCTCTGCATTACGTTCTGATCAAACGAGTACTGATTTATTAATCAAGAAGAATCAATCCTTAGCAAGTATCCAATCTTCCAAAGAAAGCTCAGTTATTGCATCCAAGAAAGTTCCTGCGTTGAAATCTATGCGAAGTAATGCCTCCAACAATTCTATCAGTGCCGGAGCAAATTCAAACATTTCAGGTTCTGGAACTGGTCTAAGTGGCGCCGGTGGAGTTTTGGGAGCAAGTAGCGTCAATAATTCTAGTGGTAAACTCGATCCTTCCAGAGGCCCTCCATATCCGTCTAAATCACCCATTCGTGGTAGATTACCACAGGTTCGAATACCAACCAAACAATTGGAGGAGATTGAAAAAGATCTATCAAATGAATATGATGAAATTACACCTTATGCTACGTTTCGTCTTACTGGTGATGATGATGGTAACCCCGAGGAAGAGTTTAAAACCTTTAGTGTACACATTGGTGAACCAGGTTACATGTACAAAGCAAATGTTGACGCTGCTCCGACTACTTCTCGTGATTATAAAACTTGTGGAAGCAGTAAAAGTCGAGATTATTTGTTTGGTGTTATGCCGGCACAAAGTGTCACTTCAGGATCATCAGCGCAAGATGAGCTACTTTATGCCTATGAATATGGTCGAAGGTACCAGCTTAATCATCCTGGTGTAATGTATTACGATGATGAAGAGGATCAAGATGATACTTTGGATGATACTCCGACTGATCCTGGAATCCGACAATTCACCAAATCACCTCCCAAACCAAATGAGAAACGCCAAGCTGCTTGTTTAACACCAGGATTAGGTTCGAGTGATTCTTCTGATGGAACAGGTGGAGAAGGAGAAGATGTTTCAAGTGATTCTTGTTCATCAGCTGATTCAAGTTGCGTTACCCCAATCAATCCTGTTCATTTGATGCACGCCTATCGTGATTCAAATTTTAGACCATCATCATTTAATCAGCTTCCTGATAAATTTGATAAAAAGGTTTCAACACCAACAGCAGAGGAACAAGGTTCCTTTAAAATTGGTCTTTCCAGTGATGAAGATGAGTTACCTGTTGTCAAACGAGTCAATAAAAGACAACAATTATCATCAGTTGCTTCTGCATCATCAACTCCTGTTGTTGGATCCACATCCACTCCGCAAGCACCAGTATTACCAAGGCACCGAAGTTCAGGTAATATCATAATAACTGAAAGCATTTCATGTGAATATCTATGATTGTTTATTAACATGGATGCGCAATCCATTAAACTTGATTGATTTTGAGTTGCACCAAACTGAGTAAAAAGCAAAAATGAAATTCATTAGTAAAATAAAATCAAGCTTGGTTATTGCAATCTATTTTCACAAAATTTTCAACAGTTAGATTTCATTATCTTTTTTTCATTATTAATTTTATCAAACCTAAAATGATAAAATCTTTTTTCGGCTGAAATAAAATAATATTTCTATCTCATTCCAGGTCGACCTCACCGAATACGTAACAAGAGGCAATTGCGTTCTAAATCCAAATCAGATGAAATCGAATGTTAAAAAATTGAACAAATCACAAAATTGGAGTCAAACAATGATTAGTGCCTTTATTCGTGAGAAATTTTACAATGCTCAATGGTTTTATTTTATGACTCAACAGCCTCAGTTCAAGGAAGCTTCTTATTAAGGTGTTATCTTCAAGAACTTAATTGGAATTTCTATTTGATAACAAAATGGCTTACAATTTCAATGGAGGTTCATTCACTGGTAACTCAAGATAATTGATGTAATTCAATAAAATTGTTGGCTGATTGGATTGTGTACTTCACGGAGACAAAATCAACAACGAATAAATGATGAACTTACGACAAAAAGCTAATTGGTGTTGCCATCATTAAATAAAAGCATCAGACATCAATTTTTAAATTGAACCAATAAACACTGCATTTATAATTGACCTCGTTACTTTAATTATCCGGAAAGATGCCTGTTAATAAAGGAGCAAATCTTCAACTTTTTACCTTGAGCAATTATGATTATTGCTTTTCTTCTCTCAACTATTTATAAACTAAATTCACAGCAAAATTCTTAGTGGGTTTCGTTATTTAATGCGAGTCACCACCTTTCAATCTGATTCTGTTGATCAATATCAAAGACTTTTTCATTTTTCACTATTCATCAATGTTTTTGTATATTTGAGCAATTTCATTTTTCTGTATTAACGGTTCAATCAATTGATACCCTCCTTTCATCTAGTCAAACCAATTGTTTCAGTTTATTAATTTTCTTGTTTCTCTTTGAATCTCAACTCCTAATTTTATCAAATTGATTTCAGGGCTTCTCAAAATTTGTAAATTCCATGATTTATCAACGAAAAATGATTTTCTTGTATAAAATTTCCTTTGTCAGCCAAAATTTTGTCCTTTTTTGTATTGAAAATTAATTGTAAATTTTTACTGTAACTCGACTATTTATTAATATGATTGAAATGGTTATGAACATAGACGACTAATACAGATGAATAATTGACTGTGTTAAATTGTGTTTAAAAGATAAAATTGAATTAAACAACGTTTTTACTTTAATCCAATAATTTATTTATGAAAACCTGACCCAAATGCTATGTCTAGTATGCTAAAGCAAGTTTAAATTGCTACACTTTCGGTAAAATTGAACCAATCAAATCAGATGGGGAATAAATTTGATTGCATTAATAATAAAATGTTCAACTAGAGAAAGTCTCTCTGAAAGATAACTTACCTGATCAGAATCAGTTAAAGATGTCTTTAAAACGATAAAACTCAAGTGGTTCATTATGATTGTCTGAATGTCTTAAAAGAAAAGTCGAAAACTCTCAATGACTCTCATAGACCAACTGAGCTCTTCGTCTCTCTTTGAGTTGACCTACCCTTAAGGCAAGATAACCGGATTAAAATTGAAACAATACTGGCTATTTGTAGACACTTTGAGTCCAATATTGAGGGAAATGTTTAAAAATATTGAAATAAATGGATATTTAATCCCGAGTTGAACACATTGGAAGGCAAGAAAAGTCAGTTATGATGAGTAAATAGATGATTGTCACAGCTCGATCATCAAACATACTGTAATTTTTATCAGCCTTTATCTGATCGGTGGCACAGTGATTATCTTTTTTACACAGTTTACTAGAAAGAGAAAGAAGGGAAAAGAAAAGAAACATAGTTAGTAGTTTTCCATTATAACCATTGCTACAAACAATAACAAGAAAAGCTCTTACCTTTTGGTTTTTCTTTTTACACATTCTTTTTTCGCATCTTCGCCCAGTGTTAGTGTAAATTAACAATTCTTCATTAACTTTTCACCATCTTTTTCACACCTTTGTTATTTTGAAAACACCTTTTCCCTCTGATCTCGGTGTAAGATTATGAATGAGGAATCAGAAAAGCATGAAGTTAATCATGTTCAGGATAAGTTAAATCAACTTGAATGTCTTGCTGATACATTATCAGGATCTGGGTCTAAACCAGGAAAACCCACATCATCGTCATCATCAGCCTCACTGACACAGGGAACTTCAACTTCATCAACACCGACACCTTTTATCTCGACAACATCAACTTCAACACCAACAAAGGGTAAGTTAACCGATGACTAAAAGTGCAACAAAGTATCCGATGGTTGATTCAAATCTTGCAGATATAAATATCACATCTTAATCGGATACCAGGTCGATTAAAATCAAAGAGTAGAATAGATTTTCTCAATTCTTTCTCATATTTTGTAAGAATTTTTCTAACATTTTATTGCTATTGCCATTTCATCTTTAATTGTTTTGTGGATGAAATATATGTTTATCTTGATAAATTTATTATTACATTCCAATCAATTACTCATCTAAAAGATGTGAAACAGGTATTGAGTGATTTGAGTAGTCATTTTTAATAGACATTTGAAAATCTATTCATTACCGCCTATTTTCATTAACATCGTTTAATTATTGTTGTTTCTTTTTATTCTCAGGACTAAACTGCAATGAACCCACCTTAGATGACTCTTCCTCACAGGATTCGTTAATGAATGGAGACCATGGAATTTCTGGGAATACAGAAAATGGAGATCGAAAGCCAGATGCTAACTCAATCAAGATGTTTGTGGGTCAAATACCAAGAGAATGGACCGAATGGTCATGTAAAGAGCTTCTCGCCGAGTTTGGTGACATTTACTCGCTCCATGTGCTTCGAGATAAAAAGACTGGAATAAGTCGAGGCTGCTGTTTTGTCACTTTCTATTCTCGTAAATCAGCTTTGGACGCTCAAAATGCTCTGCATAATCTACGAACTCTTCCTGGTGTAAGTAATTGTCAAGGAAATATACAGTACATATGATAATCAGTATTTCTAAAATTCAGTCAACATCAAATATTAAGTTTGTTAGCTTAATATTTTTCAGTGAATCAGTAAGTTACTAGATCCGATAGATGGAGGCTAAATTGCAGTTGAATTTCAAATTAAAACGAGTACATATTGTTACCAATAGATGACTCTAGTTAGAATGCTAGGACTCAAGAGTTATCTAATGTTAGCAAACTTTGAAATTGAAAGAGATTATTTAGTTTATGTTCTGACATTGCGAGCATAGTTTAGCCTCTCTTTTTTGTGTTCACAAGATTTTGTCATTTGGAGTGACAAATTGAATGACAACTCAGTCGTAACGTTTTGAGTATTTCAATTTAAACAACGACAACAATTGTAAGTTTGTGGATAATATCTTTTTTTTAATATCTTTTATTTACAATTGAAGAAGAACTGGAAATCCTTTCATTAAGAGTTGCTATCAAATTATTGAAACCATTTCTATGGACTTGATTAATCAATGCAGCTCTATCTATCTCCCTGTCTCTCTAACCAAATAAAAGCTACTTCATTGGATTATTTGTGAAAATTGTTGTGTTAATTGAATTTTAAAAATACTGATTCACTGTGTTCTGTCCTAATTAATAATACTTATCAAGCCGTCTTGATGGTGGATTGCACTAGTAAACATATTCTTTTGCTTCTTCAGATGCATCATCCCATCCAAATGAAACCAGCGGATAGTGAGAACCGTAAAGTTAAAACAAGGCGACCCGCCTTGGTTTCACCAACATATTCCAATAATTTGACCGCTGCTTCGTGGCCGATAAAAAGTGCAACAGCAACACCAATAACAGCCGACACCATAATTACAAACCCATATGTGGCTCTGGTGGTTGCAGCGGCAGCAGCTCAACAACAACAGCAACAACAGCAACAGCAAAAAGTTCAACAGCAGCAACACCAACAACAACAACAGCAACAATTGGCTGCTGCTGTTGCCACCTTAGCCTTACAACAACAACTTGCAGTTAGTAATCAAGGTAAGCTTACCAAAAAAAAAGCCATCAAAAAACATTATACTATTGTTTTCACTCATTACTATCTTTCCCTTTTCTCCTCATCCTATCAATATAAATATACACACACACATAAGCTCATTTCTCATTGATCTTTGTTTATTTGCATGATGAATGTTTTGTGATCTTTTTTCATGGCAAATTACCAAAAAATAAATGAAAATCAGTTTATATCCATAAGCAAAGATAGATCGTAATTGATTAAAAATGAACAGATATTACTCATAGAGCAGGGTGATGAGCAAGTATCATTACCCGTATCATAACTTAACTCCTCAGCCCAATCAGATTTCTGGTAAATTGGATGACAACCAAATAATCAAGCCATCATAATTTACTTTTTTATTGTGTTTTGCCTCTATTCTTATTCAATTACTAGTTTTGAGCAATTAAAGGTTGCAATAAACACGACTTCTTGTTTACCAATTATCAAAATATTTACAAGTTGACATCTTACAATCAATTTTCACAATACAATTTAGCTATTCTTTGACTTGACGGAGATAACAGTGCGATTTTAATAGTTTTATAAAGGGAAAGACAAGGCGTAATATTTACTTTTTAACCCTTTATACAAATTATTTCAATTTACTCCTAACAATGATAGCAATAGAATGATGTTTTTTCTCGAAGACTTTCAAATAGTAATTTTACCTTTCAAATTACAAATGTTTTCCAATAATTTAATTTAGTTTTAAATTGCATTTATTTGATTGTAATTTTATATTTTCTTTCTCTCTTTCTCTCTTTTCCTTTCTTTAATTGTTGCTATCTATTTACTGTATCTACGTAAATGTCAATGTATTACCAGTTTTAAAGACTAAAGTACATTTTTTACCCTTTTTTTCGCTCTCTTCTCTCTCTTCGTAATACAAAACATTTTCAGAAGATAATTGTTTAAAGTAATTTTAATCTAATTTAAATTTCGGTTATATGTTATTTGTTAATGTTTGTCTTATACATTTTCTGTGTTTGTTTGTTCATTCTCTATAGACGCTTTAAGTTTAACTGCAGCTACACTCGCATCAAATCCAATGTTAGCAGCATTATATGGAGCACCAACCAACGGAGCTGCTACAACTTGCCTTCCATCGCCAACATTAAATAATAATACAGGCCTTGCTGGGATAAGCCTCGTCCAGGTAATGAGGAAAGCCATGAAAATGACTCTTAACACTCTTGGACACTTAAAGAGACCAACACGAAAAACTCAGAGACAGATGATCATCATTATGGTTATCACTATCATTATTGTTGTTTTATCGTCAGACGCCATTTTTCCCATATTACTCTCTCTCTCTCTCCCATTATTTGTCTATTGGTTTTTAAATGTCAATTTATGGTGATAGACAATTCATCTCTCTATTTGATCCATACTTATCCTTAATTAAGTTTACATTTCTTCAGCTGTGTGTGTATGTGATTGTATGCATGTTTTTGTTTTGTTTATTTACTTTACTTTACCCATTAATATCATTATCATTACTGTTGTTGTGTTTTTGTTGCACATAAACATGATTGTGATACTTTCTGTGATATTACTGAGCAATGCCTAGAAGGGAAAGCAAAAATAACAGTTTATTGGTTTCACAGGACCAAAAAGCAATTCATTTTCGAAGTAAACAGCTGAGTAAAGCCCTGTAAATATAATAACAATAATAATAATAATGTTGAGAGTAATGAGAAGGGAGAAAATGATTTGTTTCAGTTTTTCTCTATTCCTAGACTTGAAGCTTCTCTTCAAGCCTAAGTTTTTTTCTCTCTCCTTTTTCAAGCTTTGCCTTATTGTAGAAATTTTTTTCTCTCTGTTTTTCGTTTTTCCTGGTTCCTCATGATTGTGTTGGTTGAGAGGTTGGGGGAGGAGAGAGATAGAACGATTTCCTTGAAATGTTGTCAGTTGATGGGAAATGAACAGTGAAATGTTGACTTTTGCTATCAATAGTAACAACACTGTTGCTGTTGTGTTCAGGGGGAGAAAAGATAAATAGGTGAAAAGATGAAAACACAGACAGCAAGTAACATGAAGTAGACCAAATTGTAGATGAACATTATTGTATTGGAAAGAGATGGACAGAGAGATATTTGAACAAAAAAAGTAAATAAGGATTGAGGCTGAAAATGAGATGAACATTTGAATGAAGGTAATGATGATAGACTCTAGTCAAACATGACAAGCTGTTGAGCTCATTGAAAAAGCTGGATAGACAAAACATTGGTTACACCAAAAAAAAATATTTCATTAAGTTGAAGGTTGAATTTAATCTTGCATAGCCTTGGTTATTTTACCGATCACAGTTGATATCAAAAGTTAATTGTACAATTATTCATGGATAGATGAAACTTTCATAATAGTAATCATTATAAACTTACCATGTGCATTTCCTGTTTTTAATTGTTATTACGCTTATTGTTTTGATAGCTTTTCATCATCATCACTACCTTCATCATTATTATTACCTTTCCTTTCAAGTTATCATGAGCAGTATCGTTTTTCATGAGCAACTATTCATTTTCAATTTCATTCTTCATGTTTACCTAATCATGTAAAAAACATAAACAAAAACATCAACAACAATTCAATGTTTGCTTGAGATGAAATTCAATGTGTGATTAAAAGCAACTAATAATGATGATAATAATCATGATGATTGTCATCCATTTTCATTGCAAACCATGTAAACCATAGCCAAGATCACTATTTATTAATTATTGTCATTAATGAATTTTTTGTTTCTTTTTTTTCTCTCCGTCCTTTTAGCCCTCCTTTACTAGTCGCAGTCCAACAATACAAAGTCTGAGTAGTTTAACTGGAGGTCAAAGCAGTCCCATAACCGGGTCAACGGTCAATCAATCCACCAAACAAATGGAAGGTCCGGAGGGATCCAATCTTTTTATCTATCATCTTCCCTGTAAGCATGATATTTCTCTTCGGAAAAGGTTGAAACAAAACGAGAGTCAAACAAACCAGTCCAGTGAAGATCAAAATTAGCGAAAAGCCAAAAGTCAATAAAGCAATTATTTCAAAACGAATAGAATCAAAGCTCGAATATTGAAAGAAAACCTGATTCTGAACAAATGATGAATCTTTCAATAATTACGTTGATTGTGCCAAATTCACAGCTCAATCAATGATCAAGTTTTATCGTATCTATCGATGTTGAATCTTTTGCTTTGCAGTTCGCTTTTCGTAGAAATGTTTGTTTGACTTTCGTTTATTCAAAGCAGATTTTTTTAACTCTCACCTTTTGACTTGGCAATCAGTAAAGTTGGTTGTTGATGATCACAAATCATCACTATAATCATCCCAAGAATCATGATTCATAAACACACAAAGAGCAAAGCATCTTGAATACACCTACAGCTATTTCAGCTTTTTTGTCCTTTTATCTGTCGTTTTTTTTGTAAATGTGTCAATTTACAGATTACCAAAACATTTCCAGTTTACCATTGAACATGTTGCTTATCGAGTGTTCATCAGTTTTGTTCAGAATGGCAATGAATACAAAAAAAATCTCTCCGTAAAGTGAACAAAAGTGACTTCATCAAATTTGAACTTTTTCTCTTTCTTCTCGCCCTATCAAAAGATTTACTTAACACTAGCAAAATGCAAAGCCTTAGGTGATCATTAAGAAATATCAAGTTCCTTCTCACAATCACAAGCAAATCCATTGACTTACTTTACCAACGGAAGTCGCCATTTTATTATTGAACACAGCTTAGTCACTATTTTATAATATTGTCATTACAGTTTGATATTCAATTGATTCAATGTTCACCATCTCATCTCTGTATTTACATTAGTTTTTATCATAATCTTCTCATTTTTTCTCTTCTTTTTTAAACAACTCTTCCTTTTCTGGTTCACTATTGAAGAAGATTAAATAATTAGATGAACGAAATGTAAAATTGTTCAGTGACAATAATTGAATGCAACGCAATAATTACTTGAACATTACTTACGGATTAAATGCTCTTTACAATATTCATGTACATTTACCTCTCAATTGCTACTTAAAAGTCTTGAAGCTTTTTTTTGTTCAATTTCAACAATTGAAAGCAAAGAGGTTTAAAGGACGAAATCAACTTTAATCACTAATCTTTGACTTTTAAACATTGAATAGCTTTACCCTTGACTAATGCAATTTGCTTTGTTCCTTTCAAAAGAAATATTCAAATTGATGATTTTCAACCTCAATTTTATTTACTTTGTCATGTCGATGCAATTATCATTATGACTGAACACAATACGACATTCATCATTACAATCATTACTAATTGAAAGTGAAAAATTGAAATATTTTGCATAACTTGAATAATTTATTCTTTTCTTTTCTTCCAGCCGATTACACTGATGTTGATCTAGCGCAAACATTCGCATCTTTCGGAAATGTGATATCGAGTAAAGTTTTTATTGATAAAAACACCAATTGCAGTAAAGGTTTCGGTATGTAAAAAAGCTATTCATCATTACCATGATTACTTTTTGCTGTGTGTGTCTTGCCTGTTTCTTATAACCAATGAACAATTGTTGATACTCTCTGAAGCATTCAATAGATACCCAGAATAACATAAACAATGGTGAAGAAAGAAGGCAAAGAAAAGAGAAGAAACAACAAGAAGAAGGAAACATTTCATGAAAATGAGTTTGAGCAGTTGAACAGACATGATCAACTCTGTAAACTTGCTATTGGTTTACAAGGGAAATAGTTGAATTGGTTTGGATATTGAAAATCTCAGTAATAAGTTGGATCACTGATCTTCTCATATCTTATTTGCCTTTCCTTCAATCATTGAAACTCTTGAATGTCAACTGTTCATCTTTCAATTCCTCTCACTTAACTTTTCCTCTCTTCCATCACTCCTCACTGTTCATCCTTTCCCATCCTTCTCATCTTCCTTTTACCTCATCATCAGTGTCATCTTAAACATTCTCAATCCCAACCTTGTTTTCACTTTTCCATCTCACTTTTCAGACTTTCATTACACACACAGCTTTACCTACTATACTTTTTTTGTCTAATTTTTAACCTTTTTTTTCTCTCTTCTCTTCATTTCTAAATTAGGTTTCGTCTCCTTTGACAACCCAATCTCGGCGCAAGCAGCAATTCAAGCCATGAACGGATTTCAAATTGGAAACAAGCGACTTAAAGTACAATTAAAAAAGATCAGGGACAAGCCCTATTGAATCACTACTGGCAAACCAAAATTAATATTTTCAATTTTTCTTGCGTTTTCGTCTTTTCTATTTACTCTTCTCCTACCTGCTATTATTCATTTTCATCTTTCACCCTATTCCTTCTTCTCCTTCCCACCCTTATCATCCTCTTCATTTCCCTTCTTCTCTTAACTTTAATAATCTCCCACTTTTCCCTATCATGCCTCTTTTATTCCTCTTTACGTCATTTCTCTCTCTTGTCCCCTTTTCTCATCATCTTTATTCATCCTCCAAATGATAGTTGAATAGAGAATGTTTTCATTTTTGAATCTTTCTCTCTCCCATCTTCCAATCTCCCTTCTCTTCCTACTTTGTAACTGTTTCTTTCATCTTTCCTTTCCTTTCAATGGTCTGGACAAAAAATGCAAGTGAAACCAGTGTCATTGATGATTTAACTGATGATGATACTAATGAAAAATGTGATGATGGTCAATTGTTAGCTTTTTTGTTCCTTTCTCTCTCTCTCTCTTTTTCTATTACTGTTGCCATGATGAAAGATGATATTTTACACAATTGTACATCATAAACATTATGACCACTACATATTATCATAATCACAATTATGATTAAGACATTTGTTTCTCTTGTAACCTTTTCCCTCTTTCCCATTATGCCTATTACACTGCACGCAGTTAGCCTTCATCTAATGCTATTGATAAATTTTGATGCCAACAACAACCACTTTTAATATGTATATGTATCAATGGAAAGCAAAACCAAAAGCGACAACCAGATAAATGAGAAAAAAAACACTTTTCTTTGCCATAAAACAAACAAGAAGAAAAAAAAACACTGAACCAACAAAAAATTGTTTTTGTCCTTAAAATACACAGAATATAATATTACAACAAGAACACTAAAAACATGTAAATGTCCTTGTAAAGTAAAACCAAGATTTTTATTGTGCTTACAAAATGTCATCAAATGCTTAATTTAAAAATATAATTATCTCTTATTCTTGTCTAATTACATTTCAAATTAATCTAAAATTTCGGACACTAATGCAAACATTGACAACAAAAGACATAAAATCGAACCCAATCGATTCCATTGATTTACAGATTGAAAATTGAACCTTGCTTGTTGCATTGAAAGATTTCAATCTCATGCTTCATTATAAAACAAGAGTAAATTCAATTGAAGAAGCCAAGAACAAAAAAGAGGAAAAGGAAGCGAAAGGAAAAAAAAGTTGAGATGAAAAAGAGAAGAAAAGCTTTTCCTTTTCACAGAATATCATGATTCTGTTTGATGAACAACAAAAAACTAAGAAAATGGCAGGAAAAAGTTGAAACAAGAAATCAATAAATCAAATGAGTTGAAGTTATTTGATTAGAGAGTAAAGTATAAATTCATTTAATTTATCATAAATCCTTCATCTTATCAATTGAACAATCCTGAACAGATAAATATCCAATAAGTTGAACATTCTGATAATGCGGTTAAAAGACAGAGGAAAACGATAAAAAAGGAAAAGATTTGAAAATGAAAATAATGAAAAGATATAAAGATGTAAAGATGAAAGCAAATGTTGGCTTAAATGAATAATATTATACTTTTATTTATATATCATTACCACAAGGTATAAGGCATTGAATGATAGAGTAAACCTGAAAGTAAAGAAGTATTTTTTTCGCCTTTTTTCTTTTCTTTTTTCTTCTTTCCTCTCTTTTTTATTCCTCTTTTCACCGTATTTATTCACAATTCTGTGTAATCGGAATAATTATGCATGAACAATTTTCATTATAACAGCAAAACCTTGCCATTTAGAGTTGCCTGTAATCTTATACTCTTTACTCATTCCCATCCTTTTATTATTAGGAAAAGTCACTTATATTCACTCCCAGTGGTCTATCAAAATTTATCATATTTTTTCACATGAAATAATATTCTCTCTGTGTAAATGTTATATCACTCTCAGCTGTTGTTCAAAGTAAAGTGGCAAAGATTCAAGTGACATTCAAACCCAACATTTGTTATGCAAAAAAAGATATTAAACTTTTTCTCTCTTCAACCATTTCTCCTTTCAAAGTGCATCAGCAAATCAATTTTGTTTCATCAACCCTTTACTTTGAATTACAATTTAATCTTTTTCATTAATCTCTTGTAAACATTGGCCTCAACATTTTTGGCTTTATTTTTTGCTTTAGTTTCGATGCAACAATTTTTATAACAAATATTGTTACCTGTTGGGTGTGTGTTATCAAATGTAAACCTCGGGTGTATTTACATGAATATGTATCATGTTCTTGCTGGATTATCTCAACTGCAAAACTTATGTTTTCACTTTTTTTTCGCTTTCCTTAAGTTGCTCTTGTACTCTTTGGTGTTCCACTTCAATGTTCATGACCTGTAATCTTGTGAGTTCATCGAGTTTGTGCAACAATTCAAAGCGAAAGTATATTGTATTACATTCAATTTTTAGATTCAATAACATTCAATTCAGTCTAAGAATTGTTTCATCTTTTCTTATTTACATTTTTATATTTTTTATACAGTTATCAAGTTGACATTGAGTTGAGAAATTTATTCAGATTGTTCAACATTAGTTCATGTTTAACCATTTTTAAAAGATCATTCACTTTAATCGCAATTATACATTTTCAATGTTGAACAAGAGTAATTTTGTTGACAATAACAATCTCATTATAAAATGAAATTATACAATAAATATCGATTGAAAAAATCAAACTTCATCAAGCAATGAGGGCAAATGAGATTTGAAAGGAAACCAAAATTGATTTCCAATATTCACTCCCAATTACTGTTCTTACAATATCGAGTAAATAAATGATAAAAATATGAGTTCAGTGAATCTAGATGAAACAAGTCAATCTTCATGACAGCACCAGTTGATCTTGTTGAATAGCCAAATGTCACTAACATTTTGTTGAAATTTGTTTAAATATAAACTCAGATCAATGGATTCTCTAATCTTTGACCAAAAAGCAAACCATTACTTCAGTAAAACTAGAACTCGTTCAGATTTTCATCTTGGAGTGAAAAAGCGTAAAGTAGTGAAACCAGGAAAATATAAAGCCATTAGGAGCAAGATTGATGAAAATTTGATTAACACTTGCATTTCAACTTTCAATTAAAGTCTAAAAAATCATCAACTCTGTAAATCTATTTTCATGCTGAATGTTAACAAAAGAGTAAATAATAAAATAAAATATTTGCAAATAAAGAAAAGGTAATCTCTTCCTTTTCCAGGATTAACATGAATAATAAATTGTCAAACAATCTCTTTTTGTTTTCATTTGATTCGATGAATTTTGAAAATTATTTCAATTCTAATTATAATTCCTAATGAATATTTATCACAAAGCTGAAGTCTAGTTGTTTCCATAAGCTCAATATATCATCTTGAAGTAAACATTAACTTTTCAATTGAATAACCAACACTAAACTCGAGTTTAAAGGTAAATCAGACTCTTTTGTTTCTCCATCAGTTTAATCAACATTATTTGCTTGGAAACTTTCACGACAAAACAGTTTAACCTTAAATTACGATTAAATCTATTATTTGTGTTGATGAAATTTAAATTTTCAATGTTGAGCTTTTCAATCATAATTGTCGTCTTAATTGTTGTCTGTAAATATTTACAAAAGACTTTTGTTTCCCATTTCAAAGGTTCACAAATGTTGATGGAAGCAAAGATTAACATTCAATTTTGGAATCAACTTTTGGTGACATTTTAATTAGCTTTTTCTTGCTCCATTTGCATCTTCTTTTCATCAAAAGTTGTCCAAAGTTGACATTCACTGTTCACTGAATCGATCCTTAATCTATTTACTTTTGAAACTCTTGCCTGTTGGACGATCATCGTCAACTAATGGTTCATAAAATAACTGATTAGCAATGATGAGAAGAACAATAAAAGTTGAACCAACAAACAAGACTTGCGATTAACGATGAATTGTTGAAACAGAACCAATCATTTACCTTTCAATGTTGCACTTTTATTGTTGATGTGTGTTCGTTTTCATTGGATTGATTGGTTACATTAAAAGTAATTGCTATTGATTCAATTGTTTGCCTTCAACTAATTTACTCTGTTCGTTTTTTCAGGTGAACATTGAACGGAAATTAAAGATCAAATTGGATGCAACAAATGCTCTCGAGTTCAATGTTCGAGCACCAGAATTGTCACCTTTCGATGAAAACTGTTTGCAAATTATTTCCAATCAAATGGTTCAGAGTGTGAAAAATGATTTCTTTGGATTCGTTTTCAAATTAAATACTTTTCATGTTTTCCTTGCATTTGATTTGTTTCTCTTTTCTCGACTTTTTTCATAAATAATTTAGTCTCTACATTAACTGACACATTTTGACCTTTAACATCCAAGGCACATTTAACTGGCCGGAAACAAGTTCAACATTAGCTCAAAGTTACTTCCGTAAAACGATGGACAGTCAACACAAAAAGTGAACTAATGAAGCTTCTTTCTTCTTCTTTCGACTCAAATAAGGAGAGTAAAGTTTCGATTAATGAAGCATAATGATAATAAATTGAAATGAACAAAAGGCAAGTTTATAGACTATTTTTGTTCAAATAAACTGCAATAATGGCGATGAGAAGCTTTTTACTTTGGATTGTCTGTAAAATGTCAAATTTTATTACAATTTAATACAATTTCTTTGCATTCAAACTCATATTCATTTGCTTTCACATTGGAAGATCATTTTTGTAATCGAACCAATTGACGAAAATGATAATTAAGTTACTTTTACTTGGAATGTAAATGTATAAATGTAATGTCACTTCTGAATTTGTTGATTGAAAAGGATTTAACTTTTAATTTACTGACAACTTGCGAGTAACATTGTATTGAACAGTTTGCTTTCAGTGAATCTTCAAAATGCGAAATTTAGTTACATTTCCATGCAACTGGTTTCTTTCAATTCGATTTCCAGCAAAGTTCTTTTTAATGATGTTCACACTTGGTCTAGGAGTTATCACTATTCAAATTTAATGCAGTGAATTGCTGATGATGAAAAATCATGAGCTGAGCCCTCTTAATGGCTGAAACTACGGAGATTTTGTTGTTGAATCGTATTAGTTTGTCGATTGCAACAGCAGATTACAGTAGTGGATTACAGTCGATTGTAGTGTAGGATGATAAGTTTCGAATTACTTAGAACAAAGCTAAGAGTGAAGATTTACTTTTATACGGTTTAACTCCTTTAAAGTCTCAACCCTGTCCTTAGCTTGCTTACTTGGAGTTAGCAATGAACTCCAATCTTTTCACCTTTTTTTCAAATCAAAAACTCGCACACTATGAAAGTCACTAATGAGATGAATTAAAATCGAGAAATCTAATGGAAAGAAATAACGATTGACAAACGAGTTAACGACACTTCAACAAAAGTAACTCTCATTGATAAGTTTGAAAATTGCAGATCATTGCAATTTATGCAAAGTTGTAGATTCTTATTTACCAAACGGTACTTGGAAAATTTTTGACCAAAGCATTGAAGGATCAGATAACTCGATAGCAATGACTACATGACTGTAGTAGTAGTTTAAGTATTTATATCCAAAAATGGTGTTTAATTCAGTTCGAACAAAATGATTTGAAAAATGTCATTCGCTTTCATCGCTTTAATTACTCGTTGTCATTTCAATCAAAATGAAAGTCAAATAGTGATGATGATGAAAGTGGGATAAAAGAGGCTAAAGAAGAGGTTAAAGTAGATTTGCAATTAACTGCAAGTACTTTGACTCAGTGATTTTTAATCTGGTGAATCTTGCTTGTGACAAATCCTCTCAAATTCAACTCCCAGGTCAGGTTGATGGTAAATAAGTCTCGAGTGTTTCTGCTTTTCCCAAATCAGTCCATTTAATGCCTTCCCAGTCCAATAAAAGTGGTTGGATAACCATTGCCTCCAGTTTTCAGTTAATTCATCAT